AAATTCAGGCAAGTGATCTGAGGATATAAATATACTGAGATTGATGTTTATGCTAAATCTTTTCTTGGGGGTTTAGAAGTCTCAGGTGGTATAATTCCAAACTATAAACAAAATAAAGGCCAGACATTCCATTATACCTTATCAGAAGATACTTTAACTGAACACTTTGGGTACCCAAAAAGGAACTCTGAGATTGTTTCCTTTTCTGGGTAGATATCTGTCTGTTATACCCTTTCGTTATATTTTCATCCTTCAAAGGTCCTGCCTTTTTTCATGAGTTTTCATTTAACCCCTGCTGTGTGCTGAGCTAAGTCACTTCATCTAGAAATGAAGTTCTCCATAGCATCTAAATTGCCTTGAAAAGGAGCTATTAGAACTTCAAAAGGCATTTTTACAGAAGAGAAATGGTTTGGCCCAACCTATAAGATATTAAAGCTTTCAATAAAGTCATATTAATTAAAATTGAGCCTTTTCAACAGGAAAAATACAGTAAGTAGAAGAACAAAGCATGTTCATGGAAGACTTGGAATACTGCAAAGATGTCACCACTCATCTGTGAAGGGAGATAAAGCTAATCTTTACATTTATACAGAGACAAAGTAAAGGCCATTCTTTTTGCAGTGCTGAGGATTGAACCCAGGACCTCACACATGTTAGGCAAATGCTGCATCACTGAGATTTATTCCCACCACCCAGTAAGGCCAATTTTGTTGTTTATCTTACAGCATATGTAAACAAGATCTCTCTAAAAGACTAGAGTTCTAAATAACAAGCTCAGTATTCCAAATCTAGTAAACAAGACCAGTTACATATCAGAACTGAGTACATGACAAAAAAAAAAGGTAAAATTTAATTTGAATAGGAGACCACTTGGGAATATTGGGTATTGTAGGTTTTTCCACACATGATGGTTCACACCTGCAATCCCAGGAGTCTGGGAGATGAGGCAAAATGGATCAAAAGGTCAAGCACAGCCTGGTGAGATCCTATCTAAAGGGGAGAGAGAGAGAAACAAAAAAGGAGAGAGAATGAGAGAAGAAGTGAAGGAAGGAGGGAGGGAAGAAGGAAGGAAGGAAGAAAAGAAGGAAAGGTAGGGAATGAAGGAAGGGGAGGGAGAAAAGGGAAAAATTAGCTGGATAACATTTTGAAAGAATAGGTAGCATATTTAAGTGGTTTCTGAAACTAAAGTATTTCAATTTGAACTGCAGTTTCACAATACTTCACAAGAAAAAGGGGGATTTACTTAAATCCCTTGAGTTTCAGTTTTCTTATGACAAAATGGGAATGATTTTAATAATTATTTCATTATGCTTTTCTGAGAATTAAATGTTAGGAATGCAAAACAATAAACTATACATAGAGGGCATGCAATAACTGTTATTTATTTGGATTGTATTTTCAGCATAGAAAATAACAAGGAGTAGTAAATGCAATAAATATGGAATAAACTCCTACACAGCAAAAACAATGAAATCTTAATAAAAATATGTACAACATATATTTATAACTTTTATTAGAATCATTCCATAGATGGCAGATCACACATAATTACCCTTGGGCTAATAAAATAGAAACATAGCAGGAATTCAGGATACACATTAGTGAAACCAATGTCATGCACTAAACAGAAAAATGTGTACTTTGGATCAAAAATTACAAAAAATTACTTAGTATTTTTTAACCAAAACTGAAGGGTCAAATTTATAAAAACAAAGCAAACTACTTTTCTTTATTATTCTTTCTTTGGTATCCATAAAACCATAGTTATAAATGAGTAGAATGTTAAATAGAATCATTTTTTGGCCCAAAAGCAGTGGGGAAGTGGGAGTGGCCCAAACAATGTATACACATGTGAGTAAATGTAAAAAACGATAAAATAGAAAAGAAATTTTTAAAAAGAATCATTTTTTGGTACTGATCAATGGGATGTGGTGCACTGATTAATTTTCATTGCAAATTTTACAAGGTAGTCGCCCAAAAGTAAAAATCTATCATGCCTTTGTGTTAAGGAATGAAATGAAATTTGATTAAGAAAACAGATTAGCTTTTGGGCCCATGGCCATATGTAGTAAGAATATATGAAGAATAACAAAATAATGGAATTCCACAGAGGAATTTCATAAGACTACACCCTCATTATTGCAGATGTGGGAAGTACCCTATTTATTCTCACAGCAGTGCTTCTCAGCACCAGGGGACACTCTCACAGGATTTTTATGTCTGAAGAGCCATGAGTCATTAAAAGGTCAGTAGGTTTTCCGAAGGTAAGGGAGAGGTTTTGGAATATGAAGAGTTTGTCTTGCAATTCCAACATGAATTATAACCTCAAATGTTTTTCTGACATTTATAACTACTAGAAGTATAAACCTGAAAAGTTCCTTGCTAGCTCAGTGATTCTAAACATTAAGTCAGGTAAGAGAAAGAAACTGGAGACAGACTGACAGTCATCCATGCTTCTTATCTGTTAGTGAGTGATCTATTTGGTTGCTGGTGTTATAGTTCATTGTCTTAGATTTAAATCAGGTTATGGTGGACTCCTCATTGTGTTGTGGATTATTAAAGCAATTTACTTCCCATATTTTTACTATCATACTTCATTCTCAATTCAACATGCCTGGTTCTTAGGTCATTCTCCAAGGCAAATCTGTAACTTCTAAATATTGAAAGTACAGTTAAAGAAGTCAATACATTCAGAGGCGTGTGATATCTAATTTTCTTTTTTAAAGTAAGGAAAAATTTCTTGTTTGCGGGTTTTTAATATCAAATGTGTTTTGATACAATTCTATTATAAGTCAGAAAAACAAAAGTGATTTTTGACATTCATTTTTATTTTTAAAGGGGTAACAAATTTTAAACAGTATTGTCACTGTGAAAGAACATTACTCTGAGTTGTTTGAAGGAGGTATGGCAGAGGTTAATTTCTCAATATTTACTCCCACTATGAAGCCTAAACTCCCACGGGCTCTCTTGAAGGTTTCCCTAGTTCATTCACTTTTTTTATTCTAGTAGTATAGAGTTGGTTTCCTCTCCTCTCAATGACTGCTCAAAGCTTCAATAATTACCCCTTTTGAGGGAAACACCTCAATGTTTGCACCTTCATATTCTCTCTCAGTGCTTCCCATATATCCTAGCTTCTTCCTCCCTAAAATGCAAAAGACATTACAAATGCAAAAATCCACTACATCTGTTTAAAAAGGAACTGTGGGAGGGTGGAGGATATACAGAAAATATGTAGGGGGTGAATGTGGTGGAAATATTAGGTACTCATGTGAAAAATGGCAAGATAAGACATGTTGAAAGTATTCCCCACAGGAATGTGGGGGGGAAATAATTGAGAATGATGGAGGGGGTGAATTTAACTATGATATATTATCACAATGTGCTCCCAGTACAACAGTAACACGATAATAATTTTTTTTAAAAAAATTTTAAAACACTAAAAAAGGAACAAGGAAAAGCTTTTCTTCATAATTATGTCCTTTGTTTTCAGTGTAGATAAAGGGGGTAATGACAGGTGGTCTTTGAAAGGTAAGAGAAAAGATTCAAAAGAACTGTCTCTTCAGTAAACAGTGAAAAATCAGTCAAATGTTAAATTTCATTATAATTAACTTACCTGCAATTTCTCAAGAGTTTTAATATTCACTGAATAGAATACTATTATTTCAATCCCAATAAAGAAATTATAGTTATTGCATTTCTTTAATAGAACATAGAATTTTTATGCAATACAAAAAAAGGGAAAATAGGGAAAACACATTTTACATCAGAGGAGAGATGGAAACTTTAGAAAAAGCATTATATGAAGCAGACAGATCTGGATCCATAGAAGACATTCCTGTCAGGGACACATTAAAAGAACCCAAAGTGAAGAAGTTGAACACATCTTGAGGTAGAATATTCCTGGGTAACTGAGGAGTGAACTTATTTCAGGCAAAATAAAATGACTAACATTGCATCATAACAGAAAACAGTATTTTAGGGAATTCAGAGCATAGGTAGTTAAGAAGACAATAGTATTAGGTGAAATAAGGGAGAAACTTGAACTTGTTGAAAGAAATTTTCTAATCCCGGGATTTGTAGATCTAAGAAAAGAAATGGTCCCAAGACAACTAGACAATAGAAACACAGTAGCATTTGTCATCAAAATAATTTTGGATCCTATTTGGAAAAGTATTACAGCTTACATTAAAGGAAAGCACTAAAACCCTTCATCACATATTTTAGTGATAAAATTTGAGCTATACCTCGATTAATACTGATTGATGTGGCCTCATTTCCTAATCAAATCAGGCTCCACGACTTCCCAAGGATGTGGACCAGGAAGAAATGAGTAAGAAAACATCGCCAGCATTTGTATTCTAAGGAAAAGCTAGGAGCATTTCTTAGGGCTTTTTCGATTTTGTAAGGACATTAGGATGCAATAATTTTATCCCTAACTATTAAATTTGTCAGGTGGTTTCCCACTAGGTCAAGAGACAGCAATGTGGTACAGTACTTAAGAAATTACCACCTCACAAAGCTGACTTAGGAAAGAAGAGGAAATTTGTACCAGAATGCAGATGTTAACATGGGGTGAGGAGGGGATTGAGAGGGAGAGATGATGGGGGCAATGCAAATAATGTACAATATAAGACTAATCAGAATTGACACCATGAATCCCCCTACTGTATAATGAATATATCCTAATAAAAAATGTATAGGGAAAAAAGGCTGCAGATGTTCATAGCTGCAGAAGATGGTATGTGGACAACCTGCTCTGAATCCCAAAGAGAAAGAAATCTATTAATGACAAAGCTAATTTTAAAAAATGCTTGAGTCACAGTCCTTAGTGATTAACAATCTGAACAGGCAAATACTACAGAAGATCTAAGGTGGAATTATGTAAAACAGCAACATTCTCCTGCAGAATTCTTTGTGTTGGCAAGAAAATCCTGAGATGAAAAGACTGATCTTCATTAGAGACAGTGTTCCACAAATTGTTTTGTCTCTTCTTTTAAGTGATGTTGAATCAAACCTCAGTCACTGAGTTTATTCTCCTGGGAGTGACAGACATCCAAGAGCCACAGCCTCTTCTCTTTGCTGTTTTCCTCACTGTCTACTTTGTCAATGTGTCTGGGAATGGAGCCATCCTGACAATTGTCATCTCTGATCCAAGACTCCACTTACCAATGTATTTCTTTCTGGGAAACCTGGCATGTCTAGATATCTGCTACTCTACAGTGACACTGCCAAATATGCTAGAGAACTTAATCTCCACAAACAAAGCAATTTCTTTCTTGGGATGCATAACCCAGCTACATTTCTTCCACTTCTTGGGTACCACAGAGTCTCTGTTGCTGGCAGTGATGGCATTTGACCGCTTTGTGGCTATCTGCAAACCACTTCATTACACTGTCATCATGAATCCTCAGCTCTGTACCCTGATGGCTGTCACTGCCTGGACCATTGCTTTTTTCCATGCCCTTCTACACTCCATAATGACATCTCATTTGAACTTCTGTGGTCCCAACCATATCCATCACTTCTTCTGTGATGTTAAACCATTGCTGGAGCTGGCCTGTGAAAACACTGAGCTCAACCAGCAGCTGCTCAATACTGTCACAGGGACCATTGCCACTGTCCCCTTCTTTCTCACACTTCTCTCATATTTCTACATAATCACCTATCTCCTCCTTAAGACCCATGCCTGCAGCATGCTTCAGAAAGCACTGTCCACTTGTGCCTCCCACTTCATAGTGGTTATTCTTTTCTTTGGTCCTGTTCTCATCACCTACATCCGCCCTGCACCAGGCAACTCCATGGACCAAGACCGCATCATTGCTATCATGTACAGTGTGGTGACCCCTGTACTAAATCCAATGATCTATACTTTGAGGAATAAGGAAGTAAAGGATGCCTTGAATAGGATGATCAGAAGGAAGCTCTGAATTGAATAAACCTAGAGAACTCTTCTGAGGCATAAATAACTAGACAATGAGAAAGGTGACATAATTCTACCACTTGTGGAACTGTTAAAATATATTACAGAGAGAATTGGATAATGTAATAATACATGGGACAACATAGTCTAATTGTATTAATCAATATATTCTAGGTAACATAGGGAAGCTTGAACATGTGGAATGTTAGCCATGGACCTATAATGCTGAATTTGCTTTTGGCATATCAATCAGTTGATAGCATTGACTTTGATATATTCTAATATGTTCTTTTACATAGTTAGGTATAAAATATATCTATACTATTTTTCCATGTCCGTGTTCAGTGTAAATGAGTAGTATTTACACCTGTTTCTGTGTGATCCCTTTTGGTTGGTTGACACATTTTACCTTGATCAATAAAACCATTATGCTTTTATAATTTGAAGAATTTAACTTAAAACTATGGTTACTCAATTTGAGAAGTTAATGCCAACTCACACAAGTTATAGAGATTTTTCAGAATTGTGTCATGATTTTTTTTGATTTGGGAAAGTTTTGGTTTTTGTTTTAATAGTGTATTTTAGCAAGTTAATATGTCAAAACCATATCAGCATTCAATCATATAAAAACAGTAAGATATTTCACAGTTGCTCTTTCATAGTCTTCAAAATCTGGTTAATATCTTCTTAATTTGCTTTAGCCATACTCCAAATGCTGAACAGCCACAGTTACCTACAAGATAGCCTTAAGGTGAAGGAATAAGGTCCAAGATGAGAATGTTCCTCATGGTTAGAGAGAAATGCTTTTCTGCAACCTTCCTGCACTTTCCAGAATGCTTGGCTTCACCCTTCAAACAAACACAATTAAAAAAAAAAAAACTATGCTTTTTTTTCTCAAAGGTGAACTGACTAGGGAGAGAATGGGTCATACACATAAAATTTCCCTCAGATTATGGGAAACTACTTGATTCCATATTTTTGTTTCACTAGAAATGGAATGTTGGGGTTTGAATATAAAATGTCCTCTGCACGCTCATGAATGCTTGGTCCCAACTGCTGGCACTGTTCTGGGAGGTTGTGGAAACTTTAAAAGGAGGGTTCAAGCTAGAGGAAATGAATCCCAGTAGGGGAAGGGGATGTTTTTGAAGGTTACACCTGGTCCTGGTCCCTTTCTCAGTTTCTGTTTCCTGTCCACCATGAGTAGAGTACTCTGCTCTACCACACCCTCCCCACCTCGACAAATGAAAACCTGTGAAACTGAGCCAAAATAAATCTTTCCTCCCTTAACTTGTTTGCTCAGGTATTTTGTTTCAGAAATGAAAAAATTGACTAGTACAGAAAGTATGTAGTTTGCAGAAATAGTTTAGCTGATTTCATATTAGCATAAAACATTTTTCCTTTTAGTACCTAACTACAGTAAACTGGCTTATATACCAATTTTTTAAAAATATTTGTTGGTGTCTCTCTTTACATTAATGGTAAGGAGTTGGAATAAGAACGTGTTAGCTATAATACAAGCGTAAAAATCAGCACTTCCATAATTATGTTTCAGAATCTCTTCTTTCACCTGCATTTGTTCAGCTAAATGATTGCTTTTTAGTCACACATTATTTTGTTGCTGCCAATATTGTAGTAATTAACCTTTTTATTGGCAGGTCTGACTCTCCAACTAAATTGAGCTTCTGGAAAAGATGAGTGATGTCTTTTTAAAATATATTCAATTTTTAAGTTACAAAAATAGTAGAAGGTTTCTATAAAAATATCAGATATAAATCTGTGCACAGTAAATATATATATTTATATATGCATATATATATTATAAATAGGAGGGTTTCCGTTAATACCGATATCACTTCTTGGATATAATCATCACTAAAATTTAGTGTTTTTAGCCAGGTATGGTGACACACACCTGAAATTCTAGCACTTGGAGGCTGAGACAAGAGGATCAGAGTGCAAGACCTGCCTAGGTTACATAGCAAGTTTGAAGACAATCTGAGATATATATAATATCCTTTCTCAAAACAAACAAATAAAAATATAGTGTCTACCTCTATCTATCTACCTAGATATCTATAAAGCTTAAACAATGATACAATTACACTAAACATATTCAACATATTATATAATATACACATATCCTTTTATATACTTCTTTTTTCATTAAACTATATAGCAAAGATATATAACGAAAGAGACAGAGAGACACATACAAATCTTATCATTTACTGGCTGCATAGTTATTTATTTAATGGATCTAGTTTACTAGTGGAAATTTAGGGTTTTGGTTATTTTTATTTCACTGTCACTTGTGAACACTTTCACAATGTCACAGTTTCACACTTTCAATGTCACAATTGCTGCAATGAACAGTCCTACATATCATCTTTGCTCTTTTGAGCGAGAATTTGTTCATAAACATGGAATTACTGCATCAAAGCATATGCATATTTAATATTTTAATGGATATTATAAAATTGCTTACCAGAACTAGTTCTCCTGAACATTATTCTTGCCCCTTTAGATCTTGACCAACACCACTAACTTTTTGTCTTAATTCATTGACAATCTGATATTTCATTGTTTTCATTTGCACATTGGGTTTTTTGGTGAGGACATTTTTGCATGATTATTGTGAATTCATGTATTGATTTCTGTAGCTTATCTACTTACATCCTTTGCTCATCTTTTCCCATTAAGCTTTCATCTTATTGACTTGTGGAAAGCATTTTCTATTATGGACCATAATTCTTGATATAAATTTGTAAATTTTCCTCTTTATATTATTTGCTTTGAATACTTTATTTTGAACATTACCTTAACATTATTTATATGATGTTTGGACACCTTGAGAGGATATGTTACTAAAGAATTATTATCAATAATTTTTTAACAGATGAATAAAAATATCGATCATATTCTATTTATAAGCTAATTTGCTCTGAATTGTTAATGACTTCAGGGACATGAATACATAATTATTTGTTCCTTATAACAATGTATTAAAAACACATTAGTTAATATAAATTATATTAGACTAAAAACAAATTTCTGATTTCCATCACAATGGCAAGGTCCTCTACCAATTGAAACCTTATCTTCCTTGATACTCAACTAACATTTTGATAGTTTCTGAACTCAGTTGGCAGGGAAAGTATGTGGTTTTCCCTTTTCAAGCCAAAACGTGGTTTAAGAAGCTACCTAGAAAAGGTGTGAACATTTCCTTAAAACTTACAACTTGATTTAGATCAATGTTTGCACCATCTCTTTCCACTGAACATTGTGAGGTGCAGCTGAAATATCACAGCAGGCCACTTGTTCATTTATCTTATTGGAGGAACAACTCTAGTCCTTACATCAATTACCCCTGTTATAGCCCTAATTACATTCATGTCACAATTTTATTAAAAAATCTTGAATTCCTCATAGCCTTAATTAAGGCATATGTGTTCTCCCTCCTAGTCAGTGTATACCTCCACAACCCTTAAGACCTACCAAACCCATGCAGACCATATATTTAATCCAATCCCTTGACATATATAACAACAGCTTTAATAGCACTGCTGCCCACATCTGTATATTAATAAGTTCCACTTTTACTCTACTCTTCTTTAGTCACTAAGGTTGCAAATCAACTCACTAAATACCAATGATGGTATTTAGAAGTAGTACATGAAGGCATGTTCCAAGGTCATAATACTCCTGTTGCTCAAAAGGGATTGTTATTTGGTATAATCCTACCTGTTGTCTGCACTATTCTTTCTTGCCATGTTCTTCTGAGACTTTTATCACTCAACCTAGTTCTTACACTTGAACTAGGTGGATATTGGCCACCGAAAGTCATTCACCCACTTAACATACTAAAAGTTCCATTACATAATACCTCAATTTTGCTAGCCTCGGGAGCTTACCATGGTTTAATAGAAAGAAATCAAAAACATAACACAAGTCCTTTTTAATTTTATTTTTGAGTTAGTGTACATTAATAATGTGAGGGAATTTCCTTGTGATAATTTCTACATGTGCACAGTGTACCTTGAAGGTGCTGACCACCCTTCCATTATAGTTCCCATTTCAAACAGTGTTTGATATGTTTCATTATGCTGTTTTCATAAGTATGTACGTATGTATGTATCCTTGTATATGTATGATCCTCTTCATCCCTCAGTATCCTTTCCCATCCCCTTCCCTCTCGACAGTTCCCCATATCCATTCATGTCACATCATCATCATCATCATGATCATCATCATCATATCAGGGTACACTCATGCTTAAGAGCTAAGGAATTTATACACACAAGAATGGAATCCCTAGGTAGTAAGGGAAATGCATCTTTCCCTTACTGTTGATTAACAGTACTTTCCCTTAATTGTTGATTATCTGGAATCAACAATTCCAGATAATGACAAATCAGTTTTAAGGTAATTTTTAAAATATTTTTTCTATTAGAAGGTAATGGGTGAGTGAATACAATAAAAGTATATTATATGCATGTGTAAAAATTTCATAACAAAACATGAGTTTAGGGTTTTTTTTTTTTTTTGCTCTTTCAATAGATAATAATTCAAAATCTAAATTATATAAAAAAGGCAACAAGCCTTCCCCATCACCATTACCATTCTTCCCTTAAGTCACATAGTTGAGCTTCATGGGCAAACAATATTACCATTTGTTTATCTGTCCTTGCAAAGAGCCTTATACAGATATTTACTTACTAAGAGGATGGAACAAAAAATACATTGTTATGTGACAAATGAGGCACAGAACAAGATGTACCTTAGAGATCATGCCATTCTGTTTTAATCTGCATGGCATATTCCGAATTGTGGATGTGTCATATTTCTTGATTTAGTCTTAAATTACCAGATATCTATGTTATATCCAGTCTTTTGTTGCAATCCATAATCTTATATGCACATCATTTCATAAGCAATTTTCTTTGTAGAATAAAATCCTGAAGTGGAAATATTATGTAAAAGAATGAAGGTGTTATAATTCTCATAGAT